GCGCGGCCCGCTTGGCCTGCTGGGCCTTCAAAGACCGGGCCGAGGAGGTCGAAGACCGCGGGCGTCAGCTTCGAGTCCGCTTGCCTCAGGTGCCCGAGGGGCGATTTCGGCCGCTCAGGCTGGCGGCGGCAACGCTGCCAGGTGAGCGCCCGATGCCATCGAGCGTATGTTTTGAGCTCCCTGCGATGGAGCGCGGCCGGTGGAAAAGCCGCGCGAGCTTGGCGTTGGCGCTGGGCCGTGGTGCCCAGCGCCGCGCCGCGCCATCTGGCCATTGTGCTACGTGGCGGCGCTTGGCCATAGTGCCTGGCGCTTTGGCGGGCCATGGCGCTTGCCCTGGGGCTGGGGGCGCGTCCTCCCTCCCCCTCCTCTCGCGGTCGCTCGCGCGTCGGCCGCAAGGCCGTTGCTGCGCTCCGTGCAGGCGACGCTGGGTCGCGGTGCCCGGGGCGTCGCCGCGCCATCTGGTCTTTGCGCCAAGGTGTCCGTGCAGGGCGCAGCGCCTGGCGTCGGCGGCGCTGGGCCGCGGTGCCTGGCGCGGCGCTGCGCCATCTGGCCATTGTGCTAGATGGTGGCGTCCGGCCGTAGTGCCTAGCGCGCAGGCAGGCCACGGCGCTTGCCCTGCTGTTTGGGGCGTCACCTCCTCCCCTCACTCGTGGCCGTCCTCGCGGTGGTGCTCGCGCTGGGCCGTGGTGCCTGGCGTTGCACGCTACCACTAGCCATGGCGCTGGTGGGGGGCCTGGCCGTTGCGTTCGGCGCCCATAGGCCGTCGCGACTGCTCGGAGGGCGACTGGAGGACCCAAGTTGGATGCCCGGGGAGGCTCCGGGGGGCTCAGAGGTTCCCACGACTACTTGGGATGGCCAAGATGGCGCTTCACAGGCTCCAAGATGCCATGCACAATGGGCAAAGATATCCCAGGATGACTCCAAAGGGGCGCCAGTATTGTTACGATGGGACCTTTTATCTACTGAGAGCACGTGGGGTCGCACCAATTGCTTCTCCCCAAATCCGCGTCGCGCGCGAGGGCCCCTTTTGGGGCCAACGGGGGCCACTTGGTGGGAGTTCAATGCGGGTCAATCGCGAGAGGGTTGCGGGCGCGTCGAGGGGCGATCGCGGGCGGGCCGAGGGCGGGTCGCAAGCCGAAGACGTTTTTTTTTCGTTTGAAAAAATGAAAACACCATGTTCAAAGGTTTCAAGATGATATGGAAACTCCGCTGTTCCGTTTCCGGCGAATCCGGCAATCCTGCGACGAATTCCAAACCGGCGCCCTCGCGTGGGACATCTTCA